AGTGTGGTCCCGAGTCATTCCAAGCAAAGATCTCAGCTTTTTCTTGGCAATTACTACAAAACAGAATACCAACAAAATTCAACCTTTACAAAAAAAAAAAAAAGAAAAAAAAAGGTCTCACTTTCCTGGAAGAATTGAAAGAAAGTGGGCGTCCATCGAAGGAGGATTTGACTTGAAACTAGAGATAATTTCTACAAAGAATGTGACATTTGTGAATTTGACATTTAGACATGATATCATATACTCACTTATCTTTCCACACTTCAAAGGGAAACAGTAAACTATTATGATTCAAATTCTATCTAATACAACCACTCACTTATCTCTCCACACATTTTTTTTACCCAAAAAATTAAACAATTTAAAAAAATTTAAAATGAATGTTATAATTTAGGAGTTATCTTTTATAGATGAGGAAGGTGTACGTATCTCATTAATTAAGTAACAAATTTATGCAAGGAAAGAAAAAAAAACTCGAATTATGGGGTTTCCTTAGGGGTTCTCCTCCCTAGGGTTTCTCCCGTGCACTGCTTCTAGGGTTAAGAGCAATGGTGACAGTTTTCCCTCCCTAGGGTTTTTCTCTAGCATAAGAGTTCCTTCATCCCTCATTTCTTCTTACCTCTCCCTTCCTCCTCTTGATCTCTTCCTTCCTCTTGTCACTGTCTTGCTTTGGAAACTCCAACCCAATGGACCATAAGGCAGCGGCTTTTTGAGTTTTTTAGAGTTTACATCTGTTGATTTTGAAGGATGCGATTAGAACTAATCTTGACAATAAAATGGGTTTCTCCTATTTAACGGACAAGAATCTTGCTTTCGTGCGTCTCCTTGGATGGGATCTTGACAGGGGTCGAATTCAGCGAATTTGGTTCACACCAGTTCCTGATTAGCTAGCTGATATGATTGCTGAAGGAAAGGGATGCTATTGGTAAGGCCGGCTATGGTCTGCATGGGAAGCCTGATTTTTAAGCTGGCAAAGGGGCTCTAGTTCCCTTAATGAGTTTCGATAGCATGGGTTTGAAGAGAATTGGCAAAGATGGGAACATGATTGGGAGTATATGGAGGTGACTAGGGGGCCTTGTGCTTGTTAGAAAAAGGCCCATACCCCTCTTGGTTGTTCTTATTTAAGAACAAGTAGGGCAACAACTTGTGGGTTGGAGACTGTTTGTTGCCGGAATCCCTTGCTCTCCCCAAGACACTGGTTAAATAGGTGAGGATGTCCAATGGTTCTTAATGCTCATATTGACTCCCCTTTCTACATTAGTAACTCTATTTAGCCCATACAACAATTGTAAATTCGATCCCTAGTTGCAGATGGTTCTTTTTACTTAATTGTCTGTATCTGTCATGAGCATAGTTTAAGTCTATTATTAGTGCTGTAGGTTATACTTTTAATTTTATCCTTAGGTTATTTTGATTTTGGCTATATACCATGAGAAGAAGATTCTATTGTAATTTCTTATTACTTAATATATTTCTCTATTTCCCATAAAAAAAAATACAAATTTTTGCAATTTGTGATGAATTTTAAGTTTTCTTAGGGTGTTATTTAGGAGTAATATTTTTGTATTTATTTGATTTGGAATAGAAATTATACCTAAAGAGAGTGAAAGGGATTGGTTCTTGTTGGGGCTTGGATGTCACTATAATTTATAATTTGAAATTTTCATTTTTTTGGCCAAACTTTTAAATTTGAATTTAAAATGCATCTAAACTTTTAATCCAATTGACAAGATGCATATTCTCTCATGGGTAACGATACATGTATAATTTTTTGTACAATTTTTTATATAATTTTTAAATATTATTAAATAAATAAATACATATGATATCATAAGTTTTAATAGAATGAAAAGAATCAATTATTAAATAATATGTAAAATTATTGAAAAAATTTATTTTTTCAATCACT